CACACACACACACACACACACACACACACACACACACACACACACACTTATACATGTATACTCATATATATATTAATTAATTTGAACAACATTTGTCCGAAACATTTTTATATTTGCCTAATATTTGTTGAGATATTCAAGGAAAATTTGTTAAATTTATATATTATAATATATATATGAACGCTTGGACCATTTTCTAACTGTAGACAAATGACAATATGAGCATTTGCTCAACTAAAACACATACTTACACAGCAGAGAGAGTTTGGAGTTATAAAATACTTCGGGAGTGACAGACCGTGGGGTTCTTCATCTCTATTACCACAGACATATAATATATTACTTAGACTGTGGTCCACTTGACGCTACAAATGCTCTAAAGTATTCCTCCATCTCCTTTCTTTCAATAAAGAAAGAAGGAGAAGAACGCTTCAAAGCATTTGTAGCAAGTGGACCGCAGCCCTAGGAGCGCTAGATTGCTATAGTTTAGTACAGGTTGCACTAAAGTCAGAAAATACGCCATCCGTCATCTTTGAAAAAAACCACACATGTAAATTTTTTGTAATGCGTGTGATATTAAAACTGGTCCTTTCAAAGATAGCCACCTTTCCTCTACTCTTCCCCTTGCTTTCACTTGCCTCCCCTTTTGTAGCTTCATTCGCAAAGCCTCTATTAGCAGTCTAGGTGTGATTGTTACTACGTTTACGCGAGCGTTACTTCTGTAGTAACTTACGATATATCACTCGTTTACGCGGAGTAAAATATCGTAAGTTACTACAAAATCCCGTTTATGCGAAGGAATTATCGTAAGTTACTACAGAAGTAACGCTCACGTAAACGTAGTATGTGTGACACATAAAATTACCTCGTACTAGTCTATAGTATCTAACAACATATATTATTATAGATATTATTATAGATTATTATTAAGAATTATACACCTCAGACAACACTTATGAAATGGATATAACTAGATATCTATAGGCTATCCTGTACTGTCTGGGATCCCGAGAGAGAGAGAGAGAGAGAGAGAGAGAGAGAGAGAGAGAAAAAGATTTGTAACATTATATGAAGAAATCGCACGAAATTGGGAATACTGCAATTATATGTCTCAACATTTGCAACGTACAATACTAGACCTTTGTGAAAATATCAATAAATATTTGCATAATTTATTTCTAAATAGTATTTTAGCAAGACAGCAGCGTTATTACCTTAGTGGAATATCTGCAAAATTAAATTTGGAAAGAAATTGCGAAATAATCGAGAAATATATTTGTGTTTTATTCTGTGTTTGCTGGATCGTCGATAGACGGCAGCCTTTCTTTGCAAAATATGATGGTATATACAGGGTGTTTCAGAAACTATGTCAGATATTTTAAGGTCATAAGAAAAAAAGTTCCTATAAACATGGGTCCAAAAACAGTACTATTAATTATTACGCTATGTACATACATTTCCTCCAACTTTAGGGGGCTATGGGCCGGTTTCACCATCTTTGATTAACTGTAACCTTCGATTAAACTTCATCTCTTTCTTAAAGGGAACAGTTAGAAAGAGATGAAGAGTGAGTTTAATCGAAGGTTACAGAGTTAATCGACGTTGATGAAACTGGCCTTATAATTCGGAGGGAAAGCATTTTTGGATCCATGGGTAAAAGTTTACAATAACAAACACAGCTCGGATTACTTTGACCTTGGCATATGTTGTTAAGGACATAATACTGAGTAACTTTTCCTTATAACTTAATCGGCGGTCGCTTTTTATTAAAAAGTTATTAACAAAAAAAAGTTTGGCGACCTCACCGATTTCAATGACCTTGATATATGTTGTAAAGGTCATGACCCCGAGTGACCTTCAGAAGGTTTTAGCCGTTGCTCGTTATTCGTTAAAAAGTTATTAACAAAACGACGCGCTTTACAAGTATTTAACTGTTTAAAGCGCGTCACTAATCTACATAGGTTAGATGACGCGCTTTAACAGTATTTAATTGTTTAAATCGCGTCAACTAACCCATGCGTAAACTATTTCGGGGCTACCGCACCTCCCCCGAAAGCAGGGGAGGGGGTGTGGGTGAACCTCGGTTCGCGTAAAAAGTATATGCGTGAACTATTTCGGGGCTACCACACCTCCCCCGAAAGCAGGGGGGTGTGGTTGAACCTCGGTTCGCGTGAAAAGTGTATGCGTGAACTATTTCGGAGCTATATACCGCACCTCCCCCGAAAGCAGGGGAGGGTGTGGGTGAACCTCGGTTCGCGTGAAAAGTGTATGCGTGAACTATTTCAACATATATATTAGTCATTTATGCCTTCCAATACTCAAAATAGCTGCTATATTTTTCAAACTTTCTTTGTTTATAACTTTTTAATAAGCAGCGACCGCCGATTAAGTTATAAGGAAAAGTTACTCAGTATTATTGACAACATATGTCAAGGTCAAAGTAATCCAAGCTGTGTTTGTTATTGTAAACTTTTACCGATCCATGTTCATAGGAACTTTTTTTCTTATTTTGATCCCTAGAATACGTCCTTAAAATCTCTGACATAGTTTTAGAAACACCCTGTATACGTATATGTATTGCATAAAGTATGTAACTGTTATAATGTATATCTATGTTTACTGAAGTAATTTTACTTCCAAATATCGAAATAAGTGTACAAAATTTAAACCTAAAATTAAATTCTCAATTTTCGTGCAAATATTCAGAAATTTCTTGCCGGTAAGAAGTGTTAGAACGCTTCGTTATATGAAGAATCATTTAACCGCAATAATTGTGAAATTGTTCTCTCTATTAAACTTGCAATTATTGTACAATTTTGCGCAATTTTCCTATAGGGACAGACTATAGGGCAGTTCATATTTTTTATGATTTATTTTAATACTCAAATTTTAGACATAATTTATATGCGTAAAATATATTATTAATAAGAATTTTGTATATCAATAAATGCAATTTTTTACATTATTAATGGTCGCAAGTTGTTGCATTTTTACTATAGCTATAATACATTTATGTTATTTTGCTCGAATTTCTTTACATTCATTTTGCATCGCATTTTGCATATTTGTGTTCTTTTTTATATTGTATACTCGTGAAAAAATGCTGTTTACTTTTAATAACGTCAAACTGCATTGAATATTTAATTCTCTTATCTGTAACAATTGGTCAACCAGCCAATCGCTAGAAAAGAAACTGTACATTTCAAAACTTATAAAATTAAAAATTAAAATATCAATTATAAATATAGTTCAATCTCTCTCTCATTATATATACATTATACATATAGATTAAATTCGTCTTGCTTGCTTACACATTGTCAGCAGAGAGAAGAATGAAAATGGTCATGCCCGCGTTTTGGCTGTTACCGAATCCTGTAGGTCAGTGTAGATAATGCGCACGATTTTGTTCTCTTCCGTGCTACGTCCACGATTTTTTGAAAAAAATTTTTTTTGGAAAAAAATCAAAAAATCGTGAACATAACACGGAAGAGAATCATAAAATCGTCGACATTACCACAAAATCGTACACAATCATAATTCAGATCCTATTTCAAGACCGGTTGTATGACCCCTTAGAAGAAAAAATGCCAAATTCTTCAAACTTTGTCAGGTGATGAGTATTATAATAATAAAGCATTGTGCCAAGTTTGAACAAGTTTGCGAGGCCCGTTCAAAAGTTATAACAATTTGAATTTAACATGGGCTCTGATGGGAATTCATCAAGTTTCACTGTTTTTTCAACTTCATTTGAGAAATTAATATCGAAGAAAATATGGCATCCTTTTAAAACTTTGCAGAAATATTAATAAACATCTTACAAACAAATTAGAACCAAAAAAATTATGACTTCGAGGATATTTTCTGAAATATTATAAAAACCAAACAGAGAACAGTCTCGCTTGGTCTCGCAGAACTCGTAAGTACAGAGATCCGGCAACAGCGCACTATGACGTCACATTAGAACCTCTCTCTCCGTCACTCTCCGTAAAGGATAACAAATACTACAGAGGTCCGTTACTTTTTCCAATAGAGCCTCCTGTGTATCGAAAGTGTGCTCTGAGCACGTGTAATATACAGACGCATCGTTTGAGATTAGTTTTCGCTTGCGCTACGAAAATGCCGAAAGTAAAACGTTACATGTGGAAAGGAAAAGTTGTCACTGAAAAAGTGTACAATCAACGGTTAGCACAGACAAATACTGGGAAACGTAATTTGAAGACACGAGTCGAAACACTCGAAACCACACCAGATGATTGTAACAATTCCATGGCACATGTAACGTTTTACTTTTGGCATTTCCGTAGCGCAAGCGAAAACTAACCTCAAACGTTGCGTCTGTATATTACACGTGCTCAGAGCACACACTTCGCGAACTCTATGAAGTTGGCCGGACAACTTCAACGTATCGAACTTTCATTAATTGGAATCGATTGGTGGTCGTTTGGTGGTCTTTGGTAGTCTAGTCCGATCGTTTGGTGGTTAGTCGTTTTCCTGTAAAATAAAAATGAAATTTCCGGTGTGAAGTTAGCCGGACAATTTTTATTTTTCAACCAATTTAACTTTTTTATAGCTCATTCGACGCGGAATCGTTTGGTGGTCACGAATATCACCGGTAAAACGTTTGGTGGTCAACCGTTTTCCCAGAAAATAGAAAAAACCGTATGCGCATAATGCCGTATTCGGAACAATTGTATTTATCACCCAAATTGACTTTGATAGGGCTCAATCGACGCGGAATCGTTTGGTGGTCACGAATATCGTCATTAAAACGTTTGGTGGTCAATCGTTTTCCTAAGAAATAGATAAAACCGTACTCTCACGCCATTGGTCGTATGACTTCGTGACGTTAGCTCGGTAATTTGATGGATAAACATTATTTATCAATCAAATTG